GCACGAAATAGCTGCCTTCTGATTGGCTAATGTCGACTTTCAGTCATTCCATTGGTCGGTCAAATTTCGCGCAAGGTCGGTCTGACGTGACCCGTAATGGGGTGTTCTCAGACCTTTGTTAAGCGGTAGCGAGAACTAAGATCTGATTATTTGGATTGTGCTGACTGTTTTATACAAACACCACATTACCCATGAATGTTTGCTGTGTAACGCCGCAATACTACAGCTATATGACAGCGGCCTTTAAATAATCTAGTCTGACAAACCGGTGACCAATTAAAGCCACCCAGTCTTAACACCTGATCCACTTTCTTCGTCGCCTCTTACGACTAGCATGGGTTGTTGAGGACTAATTCAACCAACGAACGCTACGAGGACGCAAACGCACGAATGAAATCCAAACAGATGATATTAAAGCTGCACACAGATCATAAGATAAAATAGTATTCGTTCTGCCTTCAATCGCATTAGACACTTATTCGGTTGTTTTCAGGGCACAAACTTAAGTATTTGTGCCGATTTTTGCGCGGCTGCGTTTGCATGCGTGTTTTGTAAACGGAAACAAACAAGAACGTCATCAGATTTCCTCGTTTAACAAACTGGCTGTGAAATGGGCACACACAATTTAGTCGTGGCCAGTGTCCCTTATATAGTATGATAAATTTTGCTTCAATCAGTCTTGTGGTACGTCACATAATGTGCAAACATTGTAAGAGGTTAATTTATTTTGTTTTGTTTTGTTTTTATTGCTTTGTTTGCTGTTTTGGTTTGGGTTGTTTTGGGTTTTTGGTGGGGGTGCGTACGGAACCGTTATGGAATTCGGGATATCTTCCACAACACCGACTTTGAAGTGTGTTCTCGTTGCTACTGTCTTATCCTGGCGAAATTTAACAGAAGCAATAGGTGTCGAGTTTATCCTACACGTTCCATATAAAGAGTGGCCGGCGAAATGATAGCAGTCCCATTTGGGAACTAATATGTAAACCTGGGAGGAAACCAGATCTGTACGGTATATTTCGGGGCCGAATGTTTGGACCTAAACCCCACTTTCCCCTAGAATAATAGTTGGGACGATGACATCCGGACAGATCAGAGGGAACTACAGACACATACAGGAAATTACGACATTATGTGACATCTTTATTTTTTCGATGGTATATAAGTTAATTATAAATGATTCCATGGCATCTGAATGGCTAAAATATTTGATACCACACCCACTAAGGGATAACAGTGTCCTGATTGGCTGATTATAGAGTGGGAAGGGTATGTGTTGTATTATTGCGCTGAACGATGTCATGGATTCCGTCTTGTCGACGCGGATTTCCACAGCGTGTACACGCTTTCACGTTTATACTTCAATACACGCAGACAAGATTGAAGTCAATTTTACTGACAGTTATTTACCGATTCCAATTATATCCCGACCTGTCAGCTTTATATGGGAGAAAAGACCGAAGTGATGCAGGTCTCAGACATTGATCAAACCCACAAGTACGGGTATGATGCTGACAAACCAGGAAACATAATCGGGAAGAACCGAGGCCATTGCATATCTTGATCTCTATTAGGGCGTGCCATGATCCTACGATCGCAGTTCGAATTCCATATTCACCCAGATTAAGATCATTGGTCTGCCAGCACTATACTTGCGTTTATGGATTTCACCAAAGTGGTGAACGTTTACGACATGCATCCCTCCGTGCTTTCCTCCCTAATGTGCTGACACGTCACATTCCTGAATATTTTTAAATTCGGCAAAAAACACAACTCACCCCAAGGCTATCATCGGCTATGACATGCATGCCTATCATATACTCGTTCGGGCCCCAAGTCAAGACATACCTAAACTGCCAGACAAAATAATGTATATTTTTAAAAATTGGATTTGACCAATACATTACAAATATTATCAAACGTTACTAGGCTGGAAACACTGCAATACTTATGGTCCAAAACACAACTATGGTGCCTTCATAAAATACATTAACATCGAATAAGCATTTCTTGTTTGTTTCATTTTAGCCACCATCAAACATGCATACTTTCTTGGCTGGCAGTTTACTTGGCTGGACATTGAGGTATCTTACCGAGGACGCCCAAAAGCAGGTGTCAAGACGCACTAATGTTTGAGTGAGTTAGGTTTAACGCCGATTTTAACAGTATTCCAGTCATATCGCGGCGTGTCAGCTTAATGTGGGAGGAAAGCCCGAAGTGATGCAGGTCTCACACGTTTACCACTTGGGTGAAACCCACGAGCACGGGTATGGTGCTGACAAACCCAGAAACATAATCGGGGCGAACCGGGATTCGAACACACAACCATAGGTTTCTGGCGTGCCCAAGGGACGCAACTCTGAACAGCGAATCGCTGCGCCTTAGACGACTGGGCCACCCGTGCCCCCTACTAATGTTTGAAGGGATAAGGGACACGTGTCTTGGATGACCAACCCACAAAGCTGGGACACCATGTTGTGGATTCCATTGACAGAGCTGCTACAGGGACATAAGAATACTCAATTCGGTCGTATTAACTTGGACTGTCAAACTGTAAAATCAAAGTTCAAATTGTCCGAGCTTTGCCCAAGTTGGACGCCACGCCATGTATTGCGCACGCACTGTTATCTCAACACTTGTCCGTCGCTCAATCGCTTCATCTCATGTTCCGAGAAGTATAAAATGAATAGGCTGCAGTATTTTTCAAGAATGCTAATGGGTAGATAATATGCGGTAATGATACAGTTACTCTGGACCGCCAGGTGTACTGCTTGGGACCTACTTGAACCCCGATTCTCCATTGTGTGGATAACTTAATGCTGGAGTAGTGTGATTTTCGGTGATCCACAAGCTACTCAAACATTGGACCCAGCCCATGCCCCATCATTCATATCTTCTCTGGACCACCTGCGAGGTCTAGTGGTAGAGCATCTTGAAGAAATCTACAGAGTGGAAGGTCCGTGGCAAGATACTAGTACTCCAGCCACTTCATACCAAAAGACGTTTAAGAGATGGTATTTGTTGTTACTCTGCCTGGTGCTAGTCATAAAGGGAATAAAAGAACTTGTCGACTTGGAGTCAGTATAATGTGTCTGAGTGGGGTATTCATGTTAAACTTTGGCATGGTATCACAGTGAGCTAGTACCATAATACAGGCATTAGTATGGACTGGTACACACACATATACTTGCATGCAGGTGGCTATAATCTTGAAGATGTTAAACTCCATTTCACTTCATATTATCTGCTCATACAATCACAATGAGCATGGTTTTACAAGACTTTTAGCAATATTCCAGCAAATTCATGGCAGTAATACCGGAAATTCACTCAGACTTCACTCTGTACCAACCTGGGAAATCAAACCCAGGACTTCAGCATGACCAGCAAACGCCCAAGGCCATAGTTTTTTTTGTTGGGGGGGGGGGGGGGGGCATGGGCATGAGTTATAGATGCTGTCTAAAATTATTAGATATGTCATTTACTTCTTAATTTGAGATGTACTTGGTACTTAACAAATCAAAACCAAATTTTTCAAATCACTTTCAGTGATGCAACAGGAAATATATAACATAAGTCACTGCCACCTTCATGTTTTCATATATTTTAATATGAGTATCTCATAACAACATAGACATCAGAATGCTCATTGGAACATCTGTCCTTGGCAACATCTGATCAACAATGACTGATGCATGTTCATAAGTCAATGTAGAATAATATTGTATACTGAGCCTGACTGCCGTACTCACTCATAAATTAATGTTGCCTTGCACTGTTATTCAATGCCTGTCTAGTGGATAAATACCTAGGAATAAGAGTGAGAGTGAGTTTGGTTTTGCACTGCTTTGAACAGTATTCCAGTTATATCACGGCGTGTCAGCTTGATGTGGGAGGAAAGCCCGAAAAGAAGAAGCTCCTCGACATTTACCACTTTGATGGAACCATGAGCATAATATAGGATTTGAACCCACGATTATAGGTTCCTGGCACTCCTAAGGTATATAGTTATGCACAGCAATTTGCAGCACCACAGGCATGTTCAAGCATGTGTTGGCAACAATCTGTGGAATAATTTATTACATGATTATCTTGTTAATCAGTTGAAAACAAATGTCAGGTGACCTCAGTTTCCACCTTTACACAGAAATGAGCCTGGTGCTATTCAGAAATATATCACATATATCACAGATGGTGTCCAGTTTGGCTTGAACAGTAGTACGTTGGTCTTCAATTCTGGTACTGTTTTTACATTGAACTATTAATCACGTTTATAGTTCCGACTCACCACACAGCCTTTGTCAGGACATCTTCCCGAGGCAAGGGAATTAACTGACTGTAATAGTCCAGTTTCCACCCTTACCAAACTAGGCTGGAATTTCTATACTTGATCGTAGTGCCACCTGTGGATATTACTAGTAATGTCGCTTCTTTGTCCCTCCTATTGACCAATCAGATTCCAGCTCTCATATCACATGCATTTGCTTCAAACAAAATGGCAGCGCCCAGTGAACACAATCTGATTGATAATCAAAATCTTACAGGTCTTACTTCGCGAAGTGCATCAAATTCATGAGAGCACCTTTATTTAAATACATAAAAAGATTTGGAAAATATCTGTTGCCACCAAGTTGGCGGTAAACATGCTTTGCAAATCCTGCAATCAACTGAAACCGGATGTTGATTTTGTTATGCGATTTTGATTGGACTATGTATAGACCTGTCAGTCCAGCCAAAATGTAACTCCATAATTTCATCCTAGTTTTATAGCAAGTTAACTCTCTGGCCTCGGGAAAATGTTTTTTTTATGAATGAGATGTGGATTGAATTCACAGGTCATCATGAAGAATTTACCTTCATATAAGGCAAAATTTTGATAAAGTTTTTGTTTGTTCATTTATTGTTGAACGCTCCACTCAGCACTATTCCAGCTATATATCGGCGGTCTGTAAATAATCAAGTCTAGACCTGACAATCCAGTGATTGACATCATGAGCATCGATCTACGCAATTGGAAGCATGACATGCATCAACCAAGTCAGCAAATCTGATCACATGATCCCGTTAGTCACCTCTTACAACAAGCATGGGTTGCTGAAGACCAGTTCTATCCCGGATCTTCACAGGTGGTTTCATAACAAGTAGATCTGAGAACCTTTGTACTTTGTAGCCCTATCACTGTGCAGTGACATACTTGTCAATAATGTCAGGATAGTGTGTAGCCCCATCACTGTGCAGTGACATACTTGTCAATAATGTCAGGATGGTGTGTAGACCCATCACTGTGTAGTGGCATACTTGTCAATAATGTCAGGATGGTGTGCCGCCCCATCACTGTGTAGTGACATACTTGTCAATAATGTCAGGATGGTGTGTAGCCCCATCACTGTGTAGTGGCATACTTGTCAATAATGTCAGGATGGTGTGTAGCCCCATCACTGTGTAGTGGCATACTTGTCAATAATGTCAGGATGGTGTGTAGCCCCATCACTGTGTAGTGACATACTTGTCAATAATGTCAGGATGGTGTGTAGCCCCATCACTGTGTAGTGGCATACTTGTCAATAATGTCAGGATGGTGTGTAGCCCCATCACTGTGTAGTGGCATACTTGTCAATAATGTCAGGATGGTGTGTAGCCCCATCACTGTGTAGTGGCATACTTGTCAATAATGTCAGGATGGTGTGTAGCCCCATCACTGTGCAGTGACATACTTGTCAATAATGTCAGGATGGTGTGTAGCCCCATCACTGTGCAGTGACATACTTGTCAATAATGTCAGGATGGTGTGTAGCCCCATCACTGTGTAGTGGCATACTTGTCAATAATGTCAGGATGGTGTGTAGCCCTATCACTGTGCAGTGACATACTTGTCAATAATGTCAGGATGGTGTGTAGCCCCATCACTGTGCAGTGACATACTTGTCAATAATGTCAGGATGGTGTGTAGCCCCATCACTGTGTAGTGGCATACTTGTCAATAATGTCAGGATGGTGTGTAGCCCCATCACTGTGCAGTGACATACTTGTCAATAATGTCAGGATCGTGTGTAGCCCCATCACTGTGTAGTGACATACTTGTCAATAATGTCAGGATGGTGTGTAGCCCCATCACTGTGCAGTGACATACTTGTCAATAATGTCAGGACGGTGTGTAGCCCCATCACTGTGTAGTGGCATACTTGTCAATAATGTCAGGATGGTGTGTAGCCCCATCACTGTGCAGTGACATACTTGTCAATAATGTCAGGATGGTGTGTAGCCCCATCACTGTGTAGTGACATACTTGTCAATAATGTCAGGATGGTGTGTAGCCCCATCACTGTGTAGTGGCATTCTTGTCAATAATGTCAGGATGGTGTGTAGCCCCATCACTGTGTAGTGACATACTTGTCAATAATGTCAGGATGGTGTGTAGCCCCATCACTGTGTAGTGATATACTTGTCAATAATGTCAGGATGGTGTGTAGCCCCATCACTGTGTAGTGACATACTTGTCAATAATGTCAGGATGGTGTGTAGCCCCATCACTGTGTAGTGACATACTTGTCAATAATGTCAGGATGGTGTGTAGCCCCATCACTGTGTAGTGACATACTTGTCAATAATGTCAGGATGGTGTGTAGCCCCATCACTGTGTAGTGGCATACTTGTCAATAATGTCAGGATGGTGTGTAGCCCCATCACTGTGTAGTGGCATACTTGTCAATAATGTCAGGATGCTGTGCCGCCCCATCACTGTGTAGTGACATACTTGTCAATAAAGTCAGGATGTTTTGGGAAGCCTGTAAACGCCGCCACTGTACAGTAATTTCTGTTCCTTGACCTTCCTGTCGAGGAAGACCTTGAGCTCCTGCACGTTACACTCTCCTGTGGTGGGACCTTGCATGGCGAACATCCTCAACATGCTGTGGATCCTCTCTAGCGGCAGACACTCCAAGTTCGTCAACATCCCCACGATATACGTCCAGAACACCTGCAGGTATGCAACATGCAAAATTAGAGTCCACAATATGAGCATGCTTTTATAGATATTTACCAAGATCATTTAGCATGCATGAATTATAGGAGTGACAACCCATTTTAACAAAGGCTTTTTGGTGATGGTTCAAAACATTGGTACTATTGCAATAGTATTGGGCACCTCTTCAAAATGCAGTTTTGCTTGGCTCTATTCAGCATGGCATCAAGTGAGTGAAAGAGATTGGTATAACACCGCTTTGTCCAGTATTTAAGTCACATCATGGAAAAACATTGACACAAGTTTAATAGTATTGCAACGAGTCTTCAAAATGCAGATTTCCTGGCTTTCATCAGAAAAGCATTAAGTGAGTGAGTATGATTTGACGCAGCTTTTAGCAACATTCCAGCAATATCACGCCAGGGGACACCAGAAATGGGCTTCACACATTGTACCCATGTTGGGAATCGAACCTGGATCTTCGGCGTGACGAGCGATCGCTTTAACCACTAGGCTACCCGACCGCCCCGAATAGCATTAAGAGAAAGAGTGAGTTTGGTTTTATGCCACTTTGAACAGTATTGCAGTCACATCATGGCGTGTCACAATCAGAGCAAATCTTGGATTCTATAATATGATTCTGGAATGCCTTAGATGACAAGTATGCAGTCTATGAAAGTGCATGGGAGTCAAGTGGTTATCATGGTTAATAGGGCGGTCGGGTAGCCTAGTGGTTAAAGCGTTTGCTCGTCACGCCAAAGACCCGGGTTTGATTCCAGACATGGGTACAATGTGTGAAGCCCATTTCTGGTGTCCCCCGCCGTGATATTGCTGGAATATTGCTAAAAGCGGCGTAAAACCATACTCACTCACTCACTCATGGTTAATATGACAGCCCTATGTTATAGATTAAGGGTGTCCCTAGATTCACATACTAAAGCAGCTACCCACAGGACCCCTTTAAACACTGAGTATGAGCTAAGCACCTGTAGTTCCTCCTCCCGCTGCTCCTGGGCCGACGCCATGGCTGACTCGGCCTCGTCATCATCCGCCCCCATCATGTCGTGTGTGCCAACCTTGTGCTCCTCCACCAGGACGAAGGTGTCCGGCACCTCCTCCTTCAGCAGCCCCTGACTCTGCCAGTACGTGATCTTTCGGCGCAGTGCCGACGCTGGCATCTGCAGCACGCTGCTCAACTCATCCACTGTCCATTTACCTGTAATCACCACAACAGTCCATACCAAACTTACTAGCCCAAACATTACTCTCAGCATCATTTTCAGTAGAATTTAGTATTATTATAAGGACTATTATTAGCTGAGCTTACAAGACTCAGTGTTACTGACTGTCAAAACATGTCATAATAAGACTGGGAAACAAACAAAGCTCCATCTGAGCCCACTGCTAGTGAATGCAGCACGGGAACAAGTGTTATGCTGAATATGACTTATGTTTCCCATATCCCATTTCTTATACTAGAAGCCATGTCCATCAACTCTGTACCACTGTATGCATCATAACTAAGGTTAAAACCATCACTAACGCACTGTGCATGACAATAATAACCTAACTATAGTAGGAATAACGTTATGCTTTATTCTGTAGTGATCTGTACTACTTCATCAGTAGATTTGATTATGTAAATACTGGCATGAGTTACCAACCTTGGCTCGGGTGCTATATGATGATGGAAGCAAGTACAGGGGAGATCACTGTGTGAGGTGGGGGGGTGGGACATGAGTTATCTCCCTTGATTCTGGAACTACATGCTGGCCACAATTACAGGGGAGATCACTGTGTGAGGTGGGTCGGGACATGAGTTATCTCCCTTGATTCAAAATTACATGCTGGCAGGAAGTATAAGGGGAGATCACTGAGTGAGACAGGGTGGGGCATGAGTTATCTCCCTTGATTCTGGAACTGCATGATGATGGCAGCATGTACCGGGGAGATCATGGTGCAAGAAGGGGTTGGAACATGAGTTATCTACCTTGACTCTGGAACTGCATGATGATGGCAGCATGTACTGGGGAGACAGAGAATGGCAGCACCTGTTCCTTCAGCTCAATCTCAATGTTCACCAGACCTGTCAGAGAGAGAGAGAGTGATTGTTGGCTGTATCACGGCTGGCAATCAGACTGTGACAAAATTTACTAACTGTCACTTTCAGGAGATTTTCCTCTGAACATATGAACTATTATCAGCTAAGATATTTATGCTGAAATCATTTTACTAGACTAACTAGGTCACGAACAGCACATCCATCTATACCATCAGTAGGGGTAGCCACAATAAGTTCCTTCTGTCAACGACTCCTCTTGGACAAGTGGTATATTTAATATAACAAAAGTACCAAAGAGCGTCGACTAGCAGACTAACGAACGTATCATGATGCGGGTCCCAGATGACAGCTAGGTAATCTGCACAAAGGATTGAATTATCTTTGTAAGACTTCAAGAATTTGCTGTCACTGTAGAGAGTCGGACAACCTGATCCATGTAGTCTCCTCTCACGACCATAATGCAACAGCATTTCAAAATATTCGTCCATCAGGCCGAGCGAATAGATGAAACACAGCATAGTGAGCAAGCAGATGGTCACATCAAACGCTGAAATATGCTCTAAATATTATGACTCCTTTACATCAATTTCTGCAAATCCCTAAAATAAACTACATCGAGTCCTGAAGACCCTCTGATGCGAACAATGGATTTCTTTGTAAAGAATGGCAGTAACACCTAAGTGGGGCTTATAGATGAGTGTTATGGCAGTAACATACCTAAGTGGGGTTTATAGCTGTGAGTTATGGCAGTAACATACCTAAGTGGGGTTTATCATTTGTTTATAGCTGAGTGTTATGGCAGTAACATACCTAAGTGGGGTTCATAGCTGTGAGTTATGGCAGTAACATACCTAAGTGGGGTTTATAGCTGTGAGTTATGGCAGTAACATACCTAAGTGGGGCTTATAGCTGAGTTTAATAGCAGTAACATACCTAAGCAGGGTTTATAGCTGAGAATTATGGCACTAACATACCTAAGTGGGGCTTATAGCTGAGCATTATGGCTTTAACATACCTAAGTGGGGCTTATAGCTGAGTGTTCTGTTTCCTTTCAGTGCTTCAAAACGTTTGGTGTAATTTTCCAGAGCTTTCTGCATTTCTTCTGGCAGAGTTATCTTCTCTTCTCTGAAGGCCGGCCAGAACTGGGCCGACAAGATCATGGCATTCATCTCAATATCCTGGAAAATGATAAATACAGCATTTCATCAACGAAAACAAAGTTCAACGGGTCAATTTCATAATACAATGAATACAATATTTACAGTATTACAGTTTGTTTCTTCAGACCCTTTTGAACAGTTTACAGGCCATTTTCTATACACCCATCTATACTGTGTGAATTGCCAAGTGGTCAATCAGCATCTTCGCCACCATCAATATCCCCTTTGTTGTTGCAGCACCCACCTCCTTAACCCCCATCTGGGCCTTCTCCTCAGTAATCCTGGTGTTGATCCTCTTGGAGTCAGCCACATCCTTCAGCATCACCTCGCAGTAGTGCAGCTGCGACTCCCCGAACCGCAGTTTCAGCAGCTCCAGGTAGCGCAGCTCACGCTCGATGTCGTACGTGAACTGGGTGAGGATGCGGTCAGCCAGCAGGGTGCGGTACTCGTTCACGAACAGCTCCTTGCTGCCATAGATGTTCACCAACATACTGATGATGTCCGACGCTCTCCGGCTCTTAGACGTTGTAGCTGGAAACATGAACATTTTGATGTCACAGTGAGTGAGTGAGTGAGTGAGTGAGTGAGTGAGTGAGTGAGTGAGTGAGCGAGTGAGCGAGCTGGGCTCTTAGACGTAGCTGGATGTCACAGTGAGTAAGTGAGTGAGTGAGTGAGTGAGTGAGTGAGTGAGTAAATGAGCGAGCGAGCTGGGCTCTTAGACGTAGCTGGTGATATGAACAGTTAGATGTCACATTAAATGAGTGAGTGAGTGAGTGAGTGAGTGAGTGAGTGAGTGAGTGAGTGAGTGAGTCATTCAGTCAGTCAGTCAGTTGGGTTTAACGCCTCTTTGAACAGTATTTCAGTTATATCATGGCGGGTCAGTTTGATGTGGGAGGAAAGCCTCAAGTAATGCTGTTATTAGAAATTTACCACATAGCTGACAAACCTAGAAACATAATCAGGGCAAACCCCGAAGATAACGAAGACTTAAGTTGGCATGTTATGTTATTTCAGAAATAGGTCTTCTCTTTCAAATAGACCCAGTGTGGATTTGTGTCACAGTCAACAGTATTCCAGCAACTTCACAGCAGCCTGCATATAACGTTGCCGCCCAGGAAAACCAGTGGTTGACAGCATGAGCAATGATCCACACTATTAGGGAATGATGACACATTACCATCTTCATCAGCCACGTGAGCACCGCAACCATCTAGCGCTCATCAGTCAACTCTTACAACAAGCATATACTGATTTCCCTGGCATATTTGCATCATGGGGAGTATGTTGGATTCAAAACTGCATCTCAAAACATTCCAGCAATAGCATCGTTCCCATGTGGGGAATCAAACCGGAGTCTTTAACATGATTAGAGAACACATTAACCACTTGGCTACCCCCACGCCCCTTATCTTACATGGATCAGCATCCACCGGGTCAGGCATCCAGTTCTGCCAGTCGTCACTCTCGTCGTCACTCTGCACTCCCTCGTCAAGCAGCAGAGGCTGTGACTTGACCAGCTCGTCCAGCAGCTCGTTACTCCCCTCGTCCGTCAAGCTGCTCACAATGCATCGCACCGTGTCATCCCGAGATCTGGAGTCAGAAACATAAAACTAATATTCTCCACACTAGTCAGAAGTATGGGTTTAGAAAATATTTTTATGAGTCATGGGTCCAAATATCACATTGGCAACCTTCGCCAGATCTGAATGCAGAGCATTTGGATACTTGATATGAGAGGTAAAGAGATTTGCATGCTTGGGAATATTCCTGTTCAAATTGTTGGTATTAAGAACTGAACCATGAATTTATTATACATATATTTCTGTTTTATTTCAGTGTTGATAAATGATATAATTCTGTCAAAAACTGGACAGCCAATGCCAACCAGTATCAGTTCATATCAGTCAGTAAGAGCCAATGTCAGAGAAACACCTTGACTTATATATAGGGGCTGTTTCAAAATATGAGTGAGTGTGAGTTGGGTTTCACGCCCCTTTGAACAGTATTACAGTTATATCACAGTGTGTAAGCTTAATGTGGGAAAAAAGAAAGAAGTGATGTCAACACCAGGGGTCCGGAAAATTTAAAATCCCAATCGGACATTTGCATTTAGGCCACGCCCCCTTCAAATAGCGTCATTTTAGTATGACTTTTCACACACATTACAAGTTGTTACGTATTCATAATATGATGAATCATTTCAATCTAAATTGTTTAATTCACCGGACAATTAATATCAAATAATATCATTTTTAGATATACATGGAAAACATACGTTTATTTCTGTTATAATAACGATCTGTTAACGTAGTGAACGGTCTAATTAATATTCATGAGTTAAATCTCCTCAAGTGTACGCGTTGTAACATTTGGATCGAGACTATTATCCCATATTTGGTTATCACGTGACCTCACGGGGAAAAGGGTTTTTTTAAACTAAAGATTATTTAAAAACAAGACAGAACTGTCTGTCGATCATGTCCGGTCAAAATTTAAGAATGTCCGGACAATACTTTTGAAAATGTCCGGACAGAAAAAATTAAATGTCCGGTAAGCAATATTTTAAACCGGACATTTGAGATTCCCAATCGGACATGTCCGGTGCATATGACGGTTTCCGGATCCCTGGTCAACACTCAAGTCCCTGATTACGAAGTCACCCAGGACTTGGTCTACAGAGTCAAAACCAGATTAATATGAATCTAGCTGACTGCTACCTTCAGGTTATGCCAGAAATGAACTTCTCACACTGTACTCATCTAAGGAATTGAGCCCTGACTTCCAACATGAACAGATGCCTAAACCACTAGGCCACTCTACTTGCCCCGTAGTGTCCTGGAGGTTTGCAGCTATAGTATTTGAATCTGGGACTCCATACATTCTTTACTTTAACCCTTGGGTCATCACAAGAACCTGCTGACTTTCATGTTTATTTCTAAGCATGTCTATGGTAGAAGAAGCAATACCTAAGATACTTGCGTACAGGTTCACACACCAGTTCCAGGATGACCCCTGCAGGGTCAAGGACTCTCAGAGATCTAATGGCAGCGATGTACGCAGTCAGAATATCGGCAGTGTTCACTCCTAAAAACAGAATTAACAATGACAAGTTGTTCCAACACATACTGCCATTTAAGATTTACTTTTCATATCTGAACACTGATCCTAAGAAAACATTTTCAAAAAGAGTTTCAAAATCAGACATGACCGCACATAAGAGGGGGTGTGCTTTGATGGGTGTTTAAGAGTGCTCCTTTGAACTCCAAGCATGTTAGCTGCTGACCAGTGAAACAATCAGGACTCTGGGAGTGGCACACATAAGGTAAGCAACTCACAGCCAATTGCACAATCTCCTTAAAATTAGATCTAGTCGTTCTGACATGACCTGTAATGTGAATCCCTCAGATCTTTGTTTAGCGGTAGCGAGAACTAAGATCTGATTTTAATAAGATTGCGTATTGCAGTGCCTGTGATGACTGGGCCCCCCTAGACTAACATCTAGTCTCTGAAATGAACATATCGTACATAAAAAAACAGTTGTTCAGTTATCTTAATAAAAATATAATAAAAAGGAGCCCAGTGACTCTCTTCATTTTCAGATACTGCAGTGATCTAGACTTGCCAAACATTATAGACTTGCATGAGCTGTATTTGATATATATTTGTATCAGGGTCTGTAAGACAGACTAGGGCCCCCTGTGCCTCACATTACAGTAAGCGGCAAATAGTCTACAACATGGGAAAACTGTGAGTTAAGTGGAATGGGTTAAGTGGAGAGTGAATGTCATTGCATGTGGCAGTTAGATATTCAAGCTCAAGCTCAACCCTCCATTGTGTCCTTAACTTTTTTATTCCTCAGGAGCTCAGTGCCCCATGGCTGAATATTTTTAACAGCTATGTTCACTAAATGGCATAATTTCAATTATTGTCAAGTAACATCCACAAGTACTTTTCACTCACTCTTAATTAGGTGTGGACTTACTGATAGTCTACGAGACTATATCATGTATATAAAAATGGATGACAGCAATACACATATAGCAGTATGACATCGAAAGCTGTAACAATAACACCAGTGGCTGGTGTTTGTTTGTTTGTTTGTTTGTTTGTTTGTTTGTTTGTTTAAAGCCACACTCAGCAATATTCCAGCCATATGACGGTGGTCTGTAAATAATCGAGACCAGACAATCCAGTGATTGACGTCATGAGCATCAATATGATGACATGCATCAACCAAGACAGGGAGCCTTACCGCCCGATCCCGTTAATCGCCTTACAGCAAGCATTGTCACCTTTTACAGTAGGCATTGTCGCCTCTTACTGCAATCATTGTCGCCTCTTACGGCAAGCTTGGGTTGCTGAAGACCCATTCTGAACAGGATCTTCACGTGTCGACAGCACATGCATCCATCCACATCACTGGGGTACAGTGACACACAATCAGCACCGTCACACCTTATAACCACCCATTATCATCTAGTCGGTCCTGACAAGCACATGGTAATGGGGATGCTGTGACGTGTGTCCTCCTCACCTGGGTGTAGCAGCCTATTCTCCAGTGCCCCTCTCAAGGAAGACACCAGGTGGGAGCGGAAGTCTGTCTTGTCCAGGCACACTTTCAGGTCCATGATTGCTGGCTCGGACTCGGGAAACTCAATGATGATATTAAACAGTTGGTCTATCAATGCCTTGGCATATGTCTCGTACAGGAAGTGAAGTAGTCTCCCCTTGAATGCTGATATACATTCTGGTCCGGAGCTTGTCCGATTGCCTGCGTAGATGATGTTGAGCCATCCAAGCACTTTACTGTCAAGCCACTGGGACAAAACAGTTGACATTGAATAAACACATCTTTTCTATTAGGCTTCCAGCTAAATACTGCTAATCATGGTCAAAAGATTTAAATAAGGAGAGTGTTGAGTTTATTAAGGCAACTCTCCACATTGTCAGTCAAATTAACGAACAGAACTTGTTTTAAAGTCTTCGACGGGGAAGTTGGAAGAACATGAATCTCACCCAAGAAATGTCTCCTGCGAAGCCAGTTTGGATGATAAAACAACAAACACACACTCTCATCATGTCTTCATCCCATCTCACCTTCTGCAGCGTGTCCAAGTATGATGTCTCGTAGTTGCCCTTACACGTGTCCTCAATGTGGTGCTTGATCTGTTCATGCACAGTGGTGGTCACAGCTGCCCCAGATATCCGCTCCAGGATACCCATGTCGTCACTGCAAATACCCATCTCATTAAGGATGTCCCCATTTAATGCCTGTTTTAAACTGCTAGCCCACTGAGATACCATGCCACAGTTTAAAATGGATACCCCACTCAGTCGCCAAGCCAACAAGTCCTTGTCTTATGCCCTTAATGCTGAGCGCCAAGCAGATTAACAAGAAGTACCATCTTTTAATGTATTTTCGCATGACACCGTAGGGGATCGAACCACCGGCCTTCCACACAGGTACGACATATGCATAACCGTAACACTACCAGTGAGTGAGTGAGTTGGGTTTAAAGCCGCTTTTAACAGTATTCCAATTATATCATGGCGTGTCAGCTTAATGTGGGAAGAAAGCCCCAAGTGATGCAAGTCTCTGACATTTACCACTTCGGTGAAACCCACGAGCACGGTTATGGTGATGACAAACCTAGAAACATAATCAGGGTGAACCGGGATTCGAACCCACAATCATAGGTTTCTGGCGTGCCCAAGGGACGCAACTCTGCACAGCAAATCGCGGTGCCTTAGACGACTGGGCCATCCCTGCCCCCATAACCCAATAACAATACAATAACAATACAATAACAGTAGGCTGACAATATTTTACCACCATTAGACCACACATTTTATATCTTTCATGTCACGAGCCTGTGGCCCCTACTGTAAAGCTGCCAGTACAAATAAAACATAAAAATATTAATTTTTATTATGTGTCCCACTAGTAATATAGACCCTCTTATACCATGGTATACAATACAAAATGTTATATATAAATTCCATGTCTACATCACTATCAGTGATTCAAGAGGCCACCTGCAGTTTTAACTCCACGGCGGATGACTTTCATCATATAAACTTATAAATGATTGACATATATTTTTTTTCGACCGACCTTGTAAGGAAAAGATGGAATAAATCTGGGAAACATGAAATAAAAAAAGTGTGGCTGTACAATCTAGAAGCCTCAATAAGACAATCTTGTGAGGACATAAAGACCAACAATGCATCATTTATTCCTCTTGTTATGAGGTGATTTCCAATTTGAAAAGCAAAGGTTACATGGTTAACCTTGAAATCAGTTTTTACGGAATTAAATCATGAAATCAGCAAATAAACTCAAAAGATCCATGAATAATCAATAAATTATATTGAAACACACAAGATTAGGTCAACAATAATAAAAGGCAATAGATTGGCCTGCATGGATGAAATAAGTGGTGGCAGCAATATTTAACAGGCCCTATAATATTTATCTGTGCACTCTTAAATTCTAGATTTAAGTAACTGCAGAATGTTTTGAAAGCAGTACATGCTCTGTTCTTGGATCCGGAGTAGTGATGGAAGCTGGCATGAATCTGGGTGTTTTTCAACAGGTATCCAATCCCAACTTTGGAGTGTAGATCATGTAGATAAGAAGCAAGTGAGGTCATGAAAAGCCTCGAGTCTCCCTCGTCTCGGAATTACATTAGTAACATCAGCCTTCTAGAAACTGTCACATAAGGAAACTTCTCAAATGATGAAGCTTGCTATGGATGTTTACAAGAAAGGGTGGTAACTCTAAATCACACTTCGGGTGCTGATTGGCCACTACAGCACTCAATATTTTACGAGTGCCTCAGTCATTTGCTGCCAATGACTATCACTAGAAATAAACCCTACAACTATCTCAATGCCACATAACACTGTCACATAACACTGTCAATCACATAACACTGTATATCACCATGATTCACTTACAGTTTACTGTTAACTGCATGAAATTTCTCCATGATGTCCTGACATCGACAGCTGTCCGACTCTTCAGCGCATCCATTACATGACCCAAGATCTTCATCTTCCCCTTCTGCCAACAGAGCATGTCAAATCAGCAACCTAAAACCTTTATCCGAAAGATGAAGAAGTAAAACCTACTGCCTTACCTTACAACTACCCATGGCATTACCCCGATAAATGAGCACAATCAAGTGTACAGTATTCAACAACTTTTTAACATGTTTAACTCAAACAAATTCCAACTCTGATGCTGTTCCAAATATCTTGCCAACCAGAAATATATACTGGGATTACATATGTTAAAACAGGGGAGATTGAAAATCATAAGCAACTTTTTTCAGGAACGACAGAAGTTGTAGTCTAGAAGAAATTTTCATTTGGAAATAACAAAATGCCCACATACTCCCCCTGCATGTGCATCAAGTGACATTCTATACGTCAATAATTTCTGCACCATCATTGCATTTTTACAACTAAAACAACATCTTTCTGTGAGAGCGACAGGGGCTAACCAGCCTAATACATTGAAAAGCTTCATGGAGAAATTCTGAAAGGTTTGGCCCTGGAAACAACATCATTTGAACTTGTTGCCTTGGAAAAGCAAAATATGAAAGTTAAAAAAATTCAAAGGCATCAGTTCAACACTTGTCTGATGTGTTTAAACAAAGTTTTAAAAAAATATAAGGAAAGGTTTATAACTTATGCTCTTAAAATGAACCCCATCTTCATTTGAACAAATGCAAAATTATTCAAAACAAGAACCATAACTCTGTCATATTTTAATTGTCATTGGTTTTAAAACTTGACAACATATTCATCACAAATCATGCTAATGTGATATCATCTAAATGTCATCCATAATGGTTTCCGAGAACTCGCAGTACTGTGCAACAACTCTGTAAAATATGAATTATTGATGACTGTTTAACATATATATATCCCTTAATCATGATGATGTATGTAAAATGTCATCCCTCTCTGCATAGCAGTCGCAGAGAAATTCGGTCACATTTTGGGGTACACCATGTCCACAAACACAAGGCAAGGGACATAACTCTGTAAAATATTAATTCCAGTGCTAAGGTTTCAAACTTGATTTATATATGTATCTGTTAATGATGTATGCAAAATGTCATCCTTGCACAAGTTGTATCCATTTGTCCCCATTGTAGATGTCATGCACCATGCCCAAGAGATGAACCATTGTTAACCAAGAGCCACGACTAAATCTTTTCTGATAATTTTTTAACTCGATCATATTTTTATCCTTTAAACATGTTAAAAGGAAACAACACTCAAAATTTGAAAGTATTGAAATATTGATCAGATTTTTCTTTGCGCATTCAAATTTTGCTAATTATGGACTATAATCTCGATTGGTTTGACTTGTGTTCAGAGCAAGGCGACATCTATTGGACATGTCGGATAATTGAAGAATGAGAAGCTGTGTATCATAACAAAGCATATACAGTAAAGAGCTGCAGCCAAAGTTCAGGTAATTCAGGTAAACGAACAGATCAAAAAATGAGAAATTTGAGATATATTATCACTAGATATGACGATTTACCATTTAAGGTTTCCCAAAAAAACTTGGCTCCAGTGACAATGGACGGACAGAGCCCAAAGAATAATACACTGGTCTTAGTCATGAATACATTTGACCTAAGTGACTGACACAACAAACTCTGTACCATCTAATCATTGTTTGGTGTCTGACAATGTGACGCGCACAGCATGACAAACACCATACTGCTGTGGGAAATACATAATTTCCAATCATAAAACAACAAACAAACAGCAGGAGTTACCTTCATCATCTGCACTTGTGTGATGAAAAACTTTAAATGCCTCAGAATAAAACTTCTCTACAACTGTCAAAAACGTTTTGGGAACAGTAAAGAAGATGACAGCTTTGTAGAAGGTGACCACTAGGGCTGATATTCCCTGTGTAGATTGTCCATCAGCCTCCATCTTGTCCCTCCGCATCACCTCCAGCCTTTGTAGACTTGCCGAGTATGAGGATGTGATGCCATGGAGATATGTCACAGCTTTGTACAGCTGGCCACATGGCTTGCAGCCATCTGTTTCTGCAGGTATAAAGTGTCTCCAGAACTCTGGCCCCACTCTGTGTCGGAGATCCTGCTGTAATGTTTCCAGGAACCATTCTTCTATGATGTGGTCCACACCCTCTTGCTTCATGACTTCAAGGGCATTCTGGAAGTCTGACTCAGGACCTGGGCGAGGTGATTCTACAAGTGCCTAAAGAACCAAATCTGCAATTATTGTTGTTATACATAATTATTCCTCAGTGACTTCATCTGCACTTAAGTCATCATTTATATCATCGGCAACAATGCAGTTTACCGGGCGCAGCCCAAGCTCAAGCTCTTCCATCCGCTCAATTACCGCGCTATAGTGCCACTGCTGTCTCGCCTCCGGTGACTCTCGCTTCACGATCCAACGATCGGTCTTAGGGAAACTTACACGTCCTTACGATCCAACACCCGTTTTCGGTCTTAGGGAAACTTACACGTCTTTAAGATCCAAAACCCCTTTTCGGTCCTTACGGTAAGCTTGCTTTGAGCAAGGATTAGCCAATAATTCTAAACTTTTCAAGCTTTAATCTGTTTAATCCGATTGGTCGGTCATGTTGACATAAATAATGGCGCGTGTTGTTACAAGAAAAGATGAATGAGAGAGCGGAACATGACGTCATATGCGTGCGCAATTCATTGTTTACTGAATTACGCATGCATGTTATAATGGAATGCTAATGACCCGTTAAACGAGCACTGTCAACATGTGATAGCGCTCGTGGTCCAGTGGTTATTAACGCATTAAGTAACAAAGACAGTGAGCCGGCGAAGCGCGTTCGAGCCCCCACAGCGCTAATTGGATCTGAAATAGTGCGCCCGGTAAAGTCCACCACTCCCATATCATCTGCTATTAGTATCTGATGTTTTGCTAAGGTGATTTTAGCCTGTACACACTGACAGACAGAAACAGAGCATCATCTGTATATCTAGTCAAAGTAATTGTTATTTACAGCGAATAAGTCTTTGGTGGTGTACAATGTAAAGATGATTAAAACTACTAAATCGTATAATAACATCCGACATATTGTTACCATACATTTTCGTTTGTTGGCGTCAGGACTGCAGATATAACACCCCATGCCTTGTTCAAAACGTCTACATTTGCCGCCATGTTGAATACTCTTCCACGGTAAGATTAAAAGTTAACTTCCAATATGATTCGCGGAGCTGTAAATTAATAGAATACCTCCGATCGTAAACACGCTAAAAAAGGGCCGCCCATAGCACAATCTATATTTATCAAATCAGTGGATAGGAAATTAATCATACAAATTAAACTTGGTCTGATATTTGACATAGATTAAGAAAAATCGTATTTCGGAGACAATTATGCTTTTTATATTTCCCAATGTCATTTCCACTTCCGGACTTCAGCGTGGGAGGTACGAATTGCAGATGATCATAGGATTGTTCAGACAGTAAATGGAAGATGGTACGTTAGACAAATAAGCGACAGTGTACATTTCTACCATAGTCTTTTGTTCTAATTTAATATATTGATCCATCAATTCACACGGTGATGCATTTAACACAATAAGCAACTCGGCCAGCTGGTGATAACTGGTTCTCTGCCCTCACCCTAAAAAACTGACACCACCCAGCCAGATAAAAAAAAAATCCTGGTTCTAGGTGCTTATTAGTGAAATGTCAGGTGCGAATATTTGATGTCATAAACAATAAACAGTTTAAATTACTACATTTTGATGTACACTATCCAATGATTTGTCAAACATCGATAAATTGTAAATTCCTTCACAATTTCAGTCAGTCACTCTACACACAGACCTGGGAGACATGAAGCTCGAGCTGTTCATTGAGCAGTGCCCAAAGACTTGTGAAGTAGGCACAGTTATATCATGTATATGATTGTATTATCAGAACTGTTTTTCGAGGGTTCTAATGTCACACATTTATACTAATAGGCAGATGTAGTATGTGAATGTACTTTGTGGGTTTCACAGACACAGAAAGGTCACTCCTAATTGTATAAAGAGGTTATTCATCCATATATCTTATCCTTACTTATCATCTTATTATTTTAGTTTCATGGAAATGCACTTTCCTGCATCTATCATGAACTATTTCAACTTAGAAATCTTATTTATTTAATGATTTACAGTTTTATTGTTCTTGTCTGTACTTAACATGACTTAGCCAATGACTTTTGATTTGACTGTTTAACTTCTAGAACTTCCTCGCCCTCTGTGCCAGCAACTACTATGATGGATGTATATTTCACAGAAACATCAAGGGATTTATGTTGCAGACTGGCGATCCCACAGGTAATGACCTCTGAGTAATAATTAACTCAGATCAAATATTTTGTAAATGTAATGATTCAATGTTCTGTGCATCACAGTATTCTGTCCTATGAACATGATGAAATTAGTGTTGTATTGGTTGGTCATGTATCAGTACATGTATACATGGTGTAGTGACCTTGAGTTAATTCTATTACTTGATCTGATAGACCTATACAATAAGTGAAAGTCCTCTCATCCATTCATTAACCTTCCTGCTTGGTTTAGAAACACAATACTACAATGTGCTACACTATTTCCTCCACTATGATCAGGTACTGGAAAGGGAGGCACCAGCATTTGGGGGCAACACTATGAAGATGAACTCAGAGATGCATTGAAAGTGAGAACTCTTGTCTATCTAAATTTGGTTTGAACCAAACATATTAGCACAAGGTTTCAAGTTTATGATTTAAACATGCATAAACATGATAAATCCATAAAATAGAAATTTGTCCTTGTTTATTTTTAAGAAAACTCGCATCACTTGTACATGTTATTGTGCTTGTAAATGTACCCAGTGAGGCCCTGTTAAGGTGATATAAATATATGACCACACAATGCCATTTAGAAATGTGCATTTTTGTATTTTCATTTTACAGCATAACACAAGAGGCATTTTGTCATCAGCAAACAATGGCCCTGATACAAATGGATCACAGTTTTTCCTAACATACTCAAAACAACCTCATCTGGATATGAAATACACAGTCTTTGGAAGGTGAGGAAACTACCCAAGTTTTGCAGTTCCTTCACGCCAGAGCAGAAAAGATCCCAAGCCCCACATTGCTTGTCTCCTTGAACTTGTGATTCCAGAACTAGATAGGTCCCCAGCACCGCATGCTTGTCTCCTTGAACTTGTGATTCCAGAACTAGATAGGTCCCCAGCACCGCATGCTTGTCTCCTTGAACTTGTGATTCCAGAACTAGATAGGTCCCCAGCACCGCATGCTTGTCTCCTTGAACTTGTGATTCGAGAACCAGATAGGTTCCCAGCACCGCATGCTTGTCTCCTTGATCTTGTGATTCCAGAACTAGATAGGTCCCCAGCACCGCATGCTTGTCTCCTTGATCTTGTGATTCCAGAACTAGATAGGTCCCCAGCACCGCATGCTTGTCTCCTTGAACTTGTGATTCCAGAACAAGATAGGTCCCAAGCACCGCATGCTTGTCACCTTGAACTTGTGATTCCAGAACTAGATAGGTCCGCAGCACCGCATGCTTGTCTCCTTGAACTTGTGATTCCAGAACTAGATAGGTCCCCAGCACCGCATGCTTGTCTCCTTGAACTTGTGATTCCAGAACTAGATAGGTCCCTAGCACCGCATGCTTATCCCCTTGAACTTGTGATTCCAGAACTAGATAGGTCCGCAGCACCGCATGCTTGTCCCCTTGAACTTGTGATTCCAGAACTAGATAGGTCCGCAGCACCGCATGCTTGTCACCTTGAACTTGTGATTCCAGAACTAGATAGGTCCCCAGCACCGCATGCTTGTCTCCTTGAACTTGTGATTCCAGAACTAGATAGGTCCGCAGCACCGCATGCTTGTCTCCTTGAACTTGTGATTCCAGAACTAGATAGTTGTTACGAGTTACAAAAAGTAATGATCTGGATGCTTCTTCTCTTGTACGTCTAATGCAAAATACTTTCCTGTTTGAAAATGTTTTCTTTGGAATAGTGTTTGAATGAAGTGTTGTGTTTCAGAGTGATTGATGGCTTTGATACACTGGACGCCCTGGAGAAACTTCCGGTAAACGAGAAGACATTCAGGCCAACAAGTGACATCAAGATCCGAGATATCACTATTCACGCTAACCCTATGGCTGGATGATAATAAACCGTTGTGTCATTGGGATCAGTATCATGTCAGGCGGGTCTTGCTTCACAGCTGTTTTACGTTCAAGATTATGGCACTGATATAGCAATAGCTATCTGTGGCTGCTTGTACTATTTTGGACTAATGTCGCCTTTACAGTGCTAGCCTCTGAAATAACATGACTGTTTAACATGGATACCCCACTCAGTACACAGTATTCTGACTCTGACCCAATCAGTCCATGTTCTTTTTTAAGAGGGGCGGTCGGGTAGCCTAGTTGTTAAAGCGTTCACTTGTCACACTGAAGACCCAGGTTCGATTCCCAAAATGGGTACAATGTGTGAAGCCCATTTCTAGTGTTCCCCGCCGTGATATTGCTGGAATATTGCTAAAAGTGTCATTAAACCATACTCACTCACTCACTCACTGACTCACTCTTTTTAAAGAAGAAAATAAAATATAATAAATATTGCTTTTTTCCACCTACCAATGAGGAATGTTTAACAAATACAAGAAACCAAACATTCTGTCAAATCCCATGTTTGCCGAAATTATTATACATTAGGTAACTTCTATTTGAAAAACTAAACAATGCAGCATTAGTGGGTTTGCATTTGATTTCTTTTCCTATTTCAATGGAGTAGTTCATCTACAAAATGTCTTCTACATTCGATCGTTTCACTGATATGGACTACAAGTCATAGTGGGAGTCATGTTTATGTGAAACTGGACTCTCCTCTAAACTCGGTACAGCCATAGCTCTTTCCCAGCTGAGAGTGTTATGGAGCAATGGAGCCTTTCTTACTAGTGATGTAGTGATTGGTCCTAATCAGTGATTGGTTGGTTGCTCTGTCCATGTGCAGTGATTGGTTGTTAGTGAAGGCAGCATGTGGGAAGCTGGATTCATGGGGGTTAATGTCATGGGAGCACTGTACATCATGTCATTATATCAGTAACATGTAAATATATGTACATATATATGTGTGTGTACAAAATTGAAAATAAATCTTTAAACATCTCTAGAGTTGTTTTGTCTTGACATTAGTATGGGTGTTTATCTGCCAGGATTTACCTGGGGCGGTGGGGTAGTCTAGTGTTTGAAGCGTTCACTCATCATGCCAAAGACCCAAGTTTGATTCCTCTCATGTGTACCATGTGTGAAGACTATTTGTGGTGTCCCCGGCCGTGATATTGATGATATATTGCTAAAAGTGGCGTAAAACCAACCTCACTCACTCAAGAATTTACCACAGGAATCTAACGTAATATATACTGAAAAATACATAGCAATTTACAATTGAGTTTTCCCTTTCAAAATGAAGGCTTTAAGATTTAGATGAACTTATACTGTAATTGTCACACCATAAAATGTCCATCTACTCTAGTAATTAGGTTGGAAGGTTTTGCAGGAAACGTTACGTTTTTTTCACTGCAATATTTTTTATGATCATATTTTCTAGAAACAAACTATCACATATGCAGATAAGGTCTGACCTATTCTACTGTAAGTAAGATATATTATTATCAAAAATATATTATTGTTTGCATTCAGCCTAAAATTTGCATCATTGCGAGCCGTTCAATGGACATGCCAGTTCAGTTTTGGTGTCAGGATATGGGACCCCACACATTAACCGGGGGCACAGTTGTCGGATGCACCGCGATTAAGCTGTGCAGAGTTGTGTCCCTTGGCACGCCAGAAACCTATGATTGTGGGTTCAAATCTCAGTTCGCCCCCATTATGTTTCTAGGGTTGTAAACACCATACCCTTGCTCGTGGGTTTCACCGAAGTGGTAAACGTCTGAGACCTGCATCACTTCGGGCTTTCCTCCCACATTAAGCTGACACGTCGCGATATAACTAATACTGTTAAAAGTGGCGTTAAACCCAACTCACTCACTCACCTGACATTAATCTTATTATGAGCCCTGTTCCTCTGTTTGATTATGAGTCTTGGTCTATCAGCTGCAGACCCCTGGTCCATGGTTTGATAATGAGTCATGGTCTATCAGCTGCAGACCCCTGGTCCATGGTTTGATAATGAGTCTTGGTCTATCAGCTGCAGACCCCTGGTCAGTAGTTTGATTTATGAGTCTTGGTCTATCAGCTGCAGACCCCTGGTCCATGGTTTGATAATGAGTCTTGGTCTATCAGCTGCAGACCCCTGGTCAGTAGTTTGATTTATGAGTCTTGGTCTATCAGCTGCAGACCCCTGGTCCATGGTTTGATAATGAGTCTTGGTCTATTTTCTGCAGACCCCTGGTCAGTGGTTTGATTTATGAGTCTTGGTCTATCATCTGCAGACCCCTGGTCCATGGTTTGATAATGAGTCATGGTCTATCAGCTGCAGACCCCTGGTCCATGGTTTGATAATGAGTCTTGGTCTATCAGCTGCAGACCCCTGGTCAGTAGTTTGATTTATGAGTCTTGGTCTATCAGCTGCAGACCCCTGGTCCATGGTTTGATAATGAGTCTTGGTCTATCAGCTGCAGACCCCTGGTCAGTAGTTTGATTTATGAGTCTTGGTCTATCAGCTGCAGACCCCTGGTCAGTGGTTTAATTTATGAGTCTTGGTCTATCAGCTGCAGACCCCTGGTCAGTGGTTTAATTTATGAGTCTTGGTCTATCAGCTGCAGACCCCTGGTCCATGGTTTGATAATGAGTCTTGGTCTATTTTCTGCAGACCCCTGGTCAGTGGTTTGAATTATGAGTCTTGGTCTATCATCTGCAGACCCCTGGTCCATGGTTTGATAATGAGTCATGGTCTATCAGCTGCAGACCCCTGGTCCATGGTTTGATAATGAGTCTTGGTCTATCAGCTGCAGACCCCTGGTCAGTAGTTTGATTTATGAGTCTTGGTCTATCAGCTGCAGACCCCTGGTCCATGGTTTGATAATGAGTCTTGGTCTATCAGCTGCAGACCCCTGGTCAGTAGTTTGATTTATGAGTCTTGGTCTATCAGCTGCAGACCCCTGGTCCATGGTTTGATAATGAGTCTTGGTCTATTTTCTGCAGACCCCTGGCCCATGGTTTGATAATGAGCCTTGGTCTATCAGCTGCAGATCCCTGGTCAGTGGTTTGATTTATGAGTCTTGGTCTATCATCTGCAGACCCCTGGTCCATGGTTTGATAATGAGTCTTGGTCTATCAGCTGCAGACCACTGGCCCATGGTTTGATAATGAGTCATGGTCTATCAGCTGCAGACCCCTGGTCCATGGTTTGATAATGAGTCTTGGTCTATCAGCTGCAGACCCCTGGTCAGTAGTTTGATTTATGAGTCTTGGTCTATCAGCTGCAGACCCCTGGTCCATGGTTTGATAATGAGTCTTGGTCTATCAGCTGCAGACCCCTGGTCAGTAGTTTGATTTATGAGTCTTGGTCTATCAGCTGCAGACCCCTGGCCCAGGGTTTATTATGAGTCTGGGTCTATCAGCTGCAGACCCCTGGACCAGGGTTTGATAATGAGTCTTGGTCTATCAGCTGCAGACCCCTGGCCCAGGGTTTATTATGAGTCTGGGTCTATCAGCTGCAGACCCCTGGTCAGTGGTTTGATTTATGAGTTTTGGTCTATCAGCTGCAGACCCCTGGTCCATGGTTTGATAATGAGTCTTGGTCTATCAGCTGCAGACCCCTGGTCAGTAGTTTGATTTATGAGTCTTGGTCTATCAGCTGCAGACCCCTGGCCCATGGTTTGATAATGTGCCTTGGTCTATCTTCTGCAGACCCCTGGTCAGTGGTTTAATTTATGAGTTGGTCCATCAGCTGCAGACCCCTGGTCCATGGTTTGATAATGAGTCTTGGTCTATCAGCTGCAGACCCCTGGTCAGTGGATTGATTTATGAGTCTTGGTCTATCAGCTGCAGACCCCTGGTCAGTAGTTTGATTTATGAGTCTTGGTCTATCAGCTGCAGACCCCTGGCCCATGGTTTGATAATGTGCCTTGGTCTATCTTCTGCAGACCCCTGGTCAGTGGTTTAATTTATGAGTTGGTCCATCAGCTGCAGACCCCTGGTCCATGGTTTGATAATGAGTCTTGGTCTATCAGCTGCAGACCCCTGGTCAGTGGATTGATTTATGAGTCTTGGTCTATCAGCTGCAGACCTCTGGTCAGTGGATTGATTTATGAGTCTTGGTCTATCAGCTGCAGACCCCTGGTCAGTGGATTGATTTATGAGTCTTGGTCTATCAGCTGCAGACCCCTGGTCCATGGTTTGATAATGAGCCTTGGTCTATCTTCTGCAGACCCCTGGTTAGTGGTTTGATTTATGAGTCTTGGTCTATCAGCTGCAGACCCCTGGTCCATGGTTTGATTTATTATTGGTTGTGAGCAGACGCATATTGTTTTCTTGGAACCAAACGCTCCAAGACGCTTTAGTAAACACATTTAATCCTTAAGGTAGCAACAACATTGATGATGCGACGTTTGCAACGTGCTGAACGTGTCATAGGCATGTTGCACACATCAGAATATTGTTGCCCAAACGCTGCATGTTTCTCAATCTGTCACCAAGGGTAACAACTCCAGCCTAGGACAGATTTGTCACAACGATGGCATTAAGAAATCGGTTGCAAACTGCCACTCAGATGAAGGAACAGTTGCAACAGGCAACTGGTGTCAGAGAACATGCCTGGAGAGAACATGATGCGACATCGTCTGTACAGATGGCATTTGCTTGCATGGCATTCACGTGTCATCCCACAACTTACTGCACGTCATTTGAATCAGAGGCATCGGTGGTGTGGGGAAAGTGTAATATATTTCGTGGTGGTTCTGTTATGACCTTGTACGCCATTATCTATTGCGAGGACAGTTAAATGTTGCTGTTGGTAATCTAAACACACGAGGCTACACAGATTATATATTAGAAACACAGAAACAGAAACACACTCGTTCATGTTTAGCTATCGTAAGTCAAAATGATACTTCATCTCAAAGTGCTTTACCGATAGTGAATCCATATGGAAAAAAAGAGGTGCCAATACGATTTTCTTGCATGTAATATATTGGAGCCTTTCCTTTGAATTGAGGATATGTGGTATATTATCAGGCACCATTTGACAAGGGTTTATTTCAGTTGAATTGGGAATGCCGAGGACCTCTTCCGGTTGCTGTATAGCCTCTGGTATTTACTTTGGCTCGACCCGTGAAGATGCCGGGGTAGAATAGGTCTTCAGCAACCCACGCTTGCCGTAAAAGACGACTATGCTTGTCGTAAAAGGCGACTAACGGGATCGGGTGGTCAGGCTCGCTGACTTTGTTGATGCATGTCATCGATCCCAATTGCGTAGATCGATGCTCATGACATCAATCACTGGACTGTCTGGTCCAGACTCCATTATTTACAGACCGCCGTCATATAGCTGGAATATTGCTGAGTGCGGCGTAAAACAACAAACAGAAACAAACAAACAATACTCTGGCTCCACCAGTTTGCGAAATAGGACATCTATGATTTAGCATCCAAAACGATCGAAAGCTCTCATCATCGTTCTTTGGCTGAAACTTTCAATTCACAATAGTACAATTTGTAACATGACGTGTTTGGATAAATTATGCTGCACTCATACAGGCGGCTGAAAATATAATTAAAACGCCCGATGGACATGGGTTTGTTGTATCCAGAAACAAAACATAACCCTCACTATGTCATCATGTAATTCCACAGCATGTCAATGTATATGTAATATTGCACTCCGCGGTGAACGCATAAGACTTTCAATGCAATGGTCAAGAAAACATTTTACAACAGTGATATTGTTTTATTTTATTTTATTACATTTCCGATCATATTTAACATTTCAATGTCATACATAAGTGTGCGTAAAGTAGTTGTTACATTTATCATAATAATAATACATCATCGTTTGTAGAGGGTTTCAAATTTATAAATGTAAAGAAGACTAGAAGGCATAATTACAATTTGAAATGCAATCAAAAATTTAATCCCGTTAGTCGCCTCTTTCGACAAGCAAAGTCTCCTCTTATGACAAACATGGTTTGCTGAAAACCTGTGCT